GCAGGTGTGCATCTGTAAAATACCACACCTTCTGGTGACGAAACAAAAATTGGAGCCCCATAGACTTTTCCCTAATTACTGGCTGTGTGCACAAATTTAGACTCTCTTCTATTTAATTCAGCAAAGGCCTTCATTGACTTGACACCTGTGTTTTCACGGTGGCTGCATATTAGTTGGCCTTGATGAGGAAAGAGGTTGCTACTGGCTGTGAATTTCCATGAGAAGGTCCAGTCGTGGTAGTTGCTGTGGGGTGGATGTTTAAGCCACCCGGCTGCTGAATTTGGCAGGGTTTGTTCAGGCCGAGTACCTGCTGCTTTGCTGGCACCTGGATCTCTTGCCCTCCCCCTTGGCGAAGCAGCTCAGCTCTTTGCAGCTTTGTGATATAAATGGTTAATGAAGCAGGGAGAGACTCATCAGCTGCTATATGAGGGTCGTTACTCTTGGTGGTTTAATGGCTGCAGACTCTCACCACTACTTAGTGCTTTAATAAGCTGAAGCTGTAAGGATAGAGTGTGGAAGACTGACTCACTGGGTGGGTGTCTTACTTGCTGTTCTATTTGCAGGTTTGTCTGGCTGCAGTGGGCCTGGTTGGTGACTTATGCAGAGCCCTGCAATCCAACATCTTGCCTTTCTGTGATGAGGTTATGCAGCTGCTCTTGGAGAACTTGGGGGTGAGTGTTTACCTTCTCATTAGCCAGTTAGTAACAGTTGGCTTGCACACTGAGAAGAAAGTGGGAGGTGGGAGAAGCAGAAGTGTTAGGCATGCTCTGAAGATCTCGTGTTTGACAACTATCTTGCTTACTATTTGAATGGAATCCAAATTTATTGGGGGTAAGGATTTACATTTCAAGTAAATGTCTTAATTTATTAGCTCCTCTCCCCCCTTAAAAAGAAGTGCAACTGAATGTCATGGTGCCGAAATCTCTTCCAGAACGAAAATGTTCATAGGTCTGTGAAGCCTCAGATTCTCTCGGTGTTTGGCGATATTGCCCTTGCCATTGGAGGAGAATTTAAGAAGTACCTAGATGTCGTGCTGAATACCCTCCAGCAGGCTTCCCAAGCACAGGTTGATAAGGTGAGCCAATGGGGCATGCTCCGGTTCCCTCACTAAAATCATAAATGAGGAAGGGCTGTGCCCACGTCATCAGGGACATTGCTGAAGTGTGCTTTCCTGTTGCCTTTCCAGTCTGACTATGACATGGTGGATTACCTGAATGAGTTGAGGGAGGGCTGCCTGGAAGCTTACACTGGCATTATCCAAGGATTGAAGGGAGACCAAGAAAACGTGCACCGTGAGTACTGTGCCCTGCTATGGTGTTTCTGTGCCTGAAATGACAGGGAGATAGGGAGAGCTCTGCTTGGACGAGCTGTCCACGGTTGTTGTCACGTCCACGGGCATATCCTTGTTCATTCCCATCTGCGTGGGAGCGAACGCTCTGCTGCCATGAGCAGGGAATGGGTTTAGAGCTCTTCACTGTGGTTCCTCTTCCTCTGGCAGTTTTCCCCCTCCCTATCTCAGCAAGCTCTTCTGGGGTTGAATTCTGGCTGTCTTGGGGGGTACACTGGAGTCCCCTTTTAAAGGACAGACTATTAAACATGAACTGTGTTCCACCCTGCTATAATAAAGCTGGTTTCTTTCAGCGGATGTGATGCTGGTGCAGCCCAGAGTAGAATTTATTCTGTCTTACATTGACCACATTGCTGGAGATGAGGATCACACCGATGGAGTAGTGGCATGTGCTGCTGGACTGATAGGGTAAGTGTCCCCATCCTATTTCAACTGACAGCGCACTCATTAGCTAGGTAGAAATATTGGTACCACAGCCTTAATACTTGAAGCTGCATTTTCATGACTGTCGGAAGTATTTAACGTCAGTTCTGGGTTTTTGCAGTCTAGCGTTGGATGTTTAAAACCCAAGGTGTGAAGTGGGTTCTGCGGGTGAGGTCCTTTAACTGACAGGGTGAAAACCATAGGTAGAAGTGAAAGCGCGATGTGTGTTACAGAAATTCCAGATCTAGGATTTTTCAAGGATGACCTGGGCTTAAAACCAAAACACCCTCAATTCCCTGGGTCAGGGTGTCTTAATCTTTTCTATTGCATTTAGGGAGAGCTGATGGGAACATCAGAGAGATCAGTCGTTGGACAGGAGATTGAATGTCTCTGGTTAGTCACAATTTCAGAAAACTGTTCAGCTCTCCTCGTGCTGAAATTAGTGACCATATGCAGCATTTTAAAAAGGACATTAGCTGTGAGTCAGATTTCTTTTTGCTAGCAAGAGCTGATCAGAGTGGTACTGGCACATCTGTTTGTGGCACTCAGCCTCAAAGCCTCTCTCTCTTCTTCAGAGATTTGTGTACAGCATTTGGAAAAGATGTACTGAAATTAGTAGAAGCTAGACCCATGATACATGAACTGCTAACTGAAGGAAGAAGATCCAAGACGAACAAAACAAAAACCCTCGCTACCTGGGCGACTAAAGAACTGAGAAAACTGAAGAATCAAGCTTGGTAAGGGATTACACCCACCTCCTTTTCATGTTGCATAATTATGAAATTGGCTAAACTCCTCAGTCTGAAAGAGATGCTTCACAAAAGCCTTGTTCTCTAGAAGGTTGTTTCTCATTTCTTTTTCTGTAAACAAGCCCCATCTGTGGTCTTGTATACCAGAACGAATACAAACCGAGAAACGCGGTGAACTGCTCGGCTTTCACGAGACCAGGTGCAGGCTGGAGGGCTTCTCACACTGTGAAATGCGGCACCCTTCCTAGTCGGGATGGCCCTGCGCTCCTCCGAGTGCCGTGTAGCTGAAGCCCGTTGACTCCTCAGTCCTACTCGGAGTTCAAGGAGCATCTGGACGATGCTCTTAGTCATACGGTTTAGTTTTAGGTAGCTGTGGCAGGAGCAGGGAGTTGGACTCAGTGATCCTTATGGGTCCCTTCCAACTTGAGATGCTCTGTGACTCTACTGAAGCGCCTTTTGAAAGGAGCGGGTTGTAGAGAGGGTGATGGTGCATCTGCCTTTGGGAGAATGCCTGTTACAGCTTTGTCACCCTACCTTGAGAAGTTCCTTAGTATCCCTATTATTTCTCTCTCGGTCACTTTTTTCCACTTGCTGCTAGTTTTATCTCCCAATTGTGGGGCTTTGTGGTGTTGAGGGCTTTTTTTTATTTTTGATGGACCCTTTTTGCTTGCAGATCTGTTACCATTGGGATGACACCTGAGACCCCCACTGGAAATCTCCAATCTTTTGAAAAAACCCGGAAGTGAGGAGTGTGCACGGATGCTGAATGTTTGGGAATGAGAGGATGAGTGAGTGAGGCTTGAAACACACCACATTGAAAATCCCGCCACAGCAACAGCAGCAGCGCTGTTAGCGAGCTGAGCACTGACTTGCGTAGAAAACCTGGCGTCGGCTGTCTTCGGGAAGAGGGAACGACCGATTTCTGTCCAAGTAACGAGCGAGTCTCTTCTTCCGACAGACCAGGACTAGCTTCTCTGTTGTGGCCGGCGCGGAAGGGGAACGGCCGGTTTGGAGGAGAGGAAACTGGGTTCAACTGTGGTGCTCTTTGTCTGAGGTCTGGCTTTGGCTGCTGGAGAGAGATGGAGCCTGGGTCTCCAGCCGCCTGCTGTAACCTTTGCCGCACGATGCTGTTGGTGCATGGGATAAAAGGAGGGGGTGAAGGATTTTCAGTCTAGGAGTGAGTGTGTGTGAATGAGGCGGTATCCACATTCTCAACTTCAAGTCATTGCAGTTTATCTTTTCCCAAAAAAAGGGTTAGCTGTTGCATTTCATAACTAACCGAAGTTCAGTCTACTGATGCAGCATAAGAGATGTAAAAAAAAAGAAAAGAGGAGAAAAAAAAGAAAAAAAAAAAAGAAAAAAAAAAAGGAAAGTCGCTCTTTAGGGCTTTTTATTTTAGGGAAACACTGACGAATGTTCAGAGCTCCCGTTCTGAGTGACGCTTTTCATGATCTCGTTTCATCAAAGCGCCTTTCCTTCCTTAATATTGTTCAACTGTGAATGTAGAAATGGGGGAAAAACAAAACTCTTGCGTTAGAGGGAATAGAAATAAATTGTCAAACACGATTTCAGGCTTAAAAAAAATACAAAAAAAAAAAATACAAACGTTAAGTGCTCTGAATTGGCAGTGAGAACGCAAAGGGAAAGATCTCTCCTGACTTGTACTGTAGCAGCCCGAACACCCACAAAAATTGTGCCAAAGAGTTGAAAAACAAAATAAAACTTCAGGTAATATTTTGGATTGCAAAATGAGGATAAATTCAATGTTCAAACAAAATCTGATAAAATGCCATTTGGAAACTGCTTGGCCTTTTGTGCTCTTTATTTGATCAAATTTAATGTGGTATTGGTCTCTTGCTGCACTTCAAAAACAAAAAAAGGAAAAAAGAAATTTATATAAAATATATATATACTGACTTGAGCTTACACAAGACGGCACTTGTAAAAGGTTATATTTTTCCACTGCAGTTGAAGATTAATAAAATGGTGTCAAACATTCCCCAATACTTCCTTTTTGTATTCTTGGTCTTTCCAGTAAAAGGGGAACCCATTAACAGTTTTTTATTTTTCAATAGAGTAGTAACAGTCTGATGGGCAACTCGGAAATGGATTGGCTGTTTACTGCTTCCCCCATCACACGACGTCTTATTTTCACATGAAGGATCAGAATCTCTCGTTTCCTCTTAAATGAGACTTTTTCTTTTGAGGAATAGTCCCTTGCTTATCCTAGATTGTCAGCAATAAGCCAAGAAAAAACGGAGGAGGTGCAGGGCTTGGAGACTATTTTTCATTTCATTTTTATTAATGCAGCTGTTGATACTACCAGCATTTGAATCTGCAGTTTAACATGGGCATTTTTAAAAGCTGCTTGTGGGAGGGAGAGTAGAAAAACTTTAGCCAGTATTTTTTTTTCTTTTTTTTTTTTCCTGAAAAGCAGGCGAGGATCTGCTTTATTCCCCAATTTCCTTTTCCCCGTCTGATCCTAGGATCCATTACAATGGAGTCCACTTTCGTTGCCCATCTGCACTGCAGCATCCACAATAGCTCTTGTACAGGGTATCAGATATGTGCCTTTCAGTGCTGGGTTCAGATTGCAGTCGAAGTGCCGACTTTGAACCAGTGTACAAAAAAAATAAAATAAAATAAACAATCCCAGGTGTTGAGAGGAGAGGAGGAGCTCTGTGAACTGGGAGAGCCAGCCAGCTCCGGAGCACGGACTAGGGAGAGGCCTGGGTCACGTTTCTAGTAATGCCTTTTCTTTTTATTTTGTTTCTCGAGGTGGGGTGGGATTTCCTAAAAAAAAAAAATTATAAAAAAAGAAAAAGCCATTCCTGAAGTTGGGGAGGGGGCGTGGAGGGAAGAAATCTGATCATTCCTCAGTGCTACCTGTTTCTGTCCTGTGTGGCTGTTCAGCTGTAGACAGCAGGAGAATAAAGTACACTGAGACAGTAGTGGAAACAAACCTTGTGTCTGTCCTGTTTGTTTTGGGGCTTTTTCTTGGGGTTTTTTGGTTTTATTTCAGGGAAAAAAGTAATTGCAGCGGCGCAGGCTTTACGTGAGCGATGTAGAGGTGGGCAGGAGCTGGTCCGCATCCCCGTGCCCGGTGCCTCCCCGCACCCGTTATCCCTAAATCCTGTTACTGCTGGCTGCAGAGGGAGGGCCAAATTCCTATTTCACATCATTATTTTTCTTTTAAGAGCTGCTTCCACTGCTTGGCAGGTTTAATTCATAGAATAAATCCTTGATTTTTTTTCTTTTTTCTTTTCTAAGTGCCATTTCAGCACT